GCGAAGTGGCGAGGCTGATCGAGCGGGAATTTACGAGCGATTACCGAGACGTCCAAGCCCCCAGAACCAAAGCGTTGGGGCTGCTGAAAGGCAGGAAGTATGTGTGGTTGGGTGCTATGATGAAGAGTAGGTTTCCGGCAAGTATATGTGACTTCGGCTTTGGATTTGCCCAAGATCTTTTGAGGGAAGAATCTCGGGAACTGAACCTGAAAGAGAAAATAGTGGGCCAACTACAGCCAGCAACTGACGAGAAAGGTGTTATTTATCTTGCAGCTCTGGTAGACTCCTTGCATGCCTAAGTCCTAGGATATTTTGAAGAAGACGACGACTTCAAAATCTCCAATGGGTGAAGCTACACGACACAGCAAGTGGCAGTGGTCAAATAATCGATGAAAGGGTACAGGACATACAACACCCGCCTTGTTGTCGAGACGGCAGTAGCAGTTGACCACACTGAAATATTAGAGCTTCTCTTACTTATGGACCAAGCCACAGCGCTTGGTGGTGACTACAGCATTGGAGTCTGCTGCTAAACAGGGTCGCATGGATGTACTGAAACACCTTGGGAACTACGGCGTGCATAAGGAAGGGGAACATGAAAGGCATCTGTACGGTCGAATGAAAGAGCTTTACCGTGTCAGTGATGCGCTCGGTGTGGCTGCCAGAGCTGGGTAACATGGATTCTACACAGAAGAAACGCTCGGAAGGTATGGGTCTTTATGTGGACAGCTCGATCTTTGTGATCGAGTGAGCTGTTCAAGACAACCGGCACGATGTGGTCGAGTTAATGTGTTCGTGCTGTGCGAAGGATGAAACCCACTCCACTCTTCATCGCTCAGATGTAACCTCGACGTGATCAAGGACATTTGCGAAGCCTGTCCACCCGGCAGGCGCGGCGACAAATGTGCTGGCAACCTTCAAACTTAGCGATAAAGAGACGGTAAACTTTCTGCGTAGCGTTGGTACATTTGAATGTGCGTACGGAAAAGTTAATGATTTCATAGTTGCATTTTTCATGTTTGTTTTATCCCGTTTAAAAAATATTTCTTTAAAAAAAATAGTGCATTGCATTAGTTTTTATGATTCCTGCATCAAGGCAATCTGAAGAATACGAACTGCTTCAGCCGCAGTTGGTCTCTTCGTAGGATCCATCGAAACACAAACACGACCCAACCTTACTATTGTGTGAGGATCAGACTTTGAGAACTGCACGCTTAACATTCCACTCGCGACTCGTTGGAGTATAGCCAATGTGGGCATCTGGCGGTTAGACCCACTGCGTTTTACGTGGGAGTAAGGTAATGAATGCATCGACAGCTCCGACAGCACCACTCCAAAAGAAAACATGTCTGCCTTCTCATCGTACGCGTTTCCAATCATCACTTCCGGAGCCATCCAAAGCGACGTACCCAC